CCACTCCTTTGTAGAAGAACTTTGTACTTGATGATTGATCTCTCTATTTGCGGATGCCTTCACTAATTGCGGAATGCTCTTCTTCAACTCTGAATCTCCCTAGAGAGTTATGTAACTCCTCTATTTATAGTGGTAAAGGATGAACAGTCCAGCTACATATGAACTCTCTTGTTTGATTTCTGATTGGCTCATGTGAATCATCAAACTTATCACATAAGCTATGTGATAAGCTTGCTTGTGATTGGCCAAGATATGTCATTTTAGACACCTGGCAACTCTTGATTGGTCACTATTTTAGACTGAGATTGCCACATCATTTCATACGTGGCGTCATCTTATTGGCTTTTGAGTTTGACTGAATATGCCATGTCACTTGATACAAGGCATGAGTTTGGGCCTTAAGATAAAATGGACTTAGGGCTTGAAAATAATAAAATGGACTAATTTAATTTGTAAAGTCTAAATTAATTATTTAACCCAAATAAAATTAAGATTCAATTCAAATTTTGTACGGATTAAACTTAATAAATTTTATATGTGTACAAAAACTACAATAGTGGGAAATAGGTCTCGAGATTGAGAATTTAGATTAAACTAAATGGGATGTTGGTCATGATCAGTAGTTTATAATACACTAATGAAACAAGAAATTTAATACTAATAATTGACAGAAACAAAGTAAGTGGGTTACCTAGGAAGAGAGCAAGCATGAGGTTGCCATCTCCAATGCTGATAGTCTTTGTCTGGACGACCGTGTTCTTGGCAAGTTAACTGTGGTTGTATGTAAGGACACTCGTATTCCTCGTATAAAGGTCGGCTCTTCTCCCAAACCCATCTTCCTTTGAATACGTCACACCCTTCTTCTCTTTCTCCTATAGCAAATGGCAATTTCTCCTTGTTTTTCACTACCACCACAAAATATAATTCAAAACACAGTTCACCGTGCACAGAAATACAGAGTTTAATTTCTATAGATTCATTTACCCAGCAATTCTGATAGGAGAGTTCAAAATAATATTTAAATGTCAAAGGAATTCAAAATTTTATTTATGAAAAACAACATTTTATCCTATCTCTCCGATGAAGTTCATTGCATGTGGTTCTGTCATTGTCTAAAAGATAACTATGTATAAATGTCCATAATATATGGCATTAATTAATAACTGATATATAAGGTAAATAACACGATAAGGATGTAAAAATCTATTACATTGAGTTAAATTCATTAATACAATGACAACTCTTCTAAGCCTTAAATATAAAAGAGAAAAGGAAAGCGAAGGGCTTGAATTACTTACTGATTCTTGAGATGGAAATGCGAAGGCCAGAGAGTTTGGTATCACATTGACTGAAGACTTCACTGTAAAGAATAACAGCAATGAAGACGATGAAGGCTAATAAAGTGAATAGAAAAGGAGAAAGCCGAGTTTTTCTCAGAAGAAGAGAGGAAGAAGGAGATGAAGAGGGAGGTGACTTCATTTCTCTGGAGCCTTTGGCTGTCTGTTTCTATGTCCTTTTTCGTGGTTTTAGTAAGGGGTAAAGATTTACGCCAGTATGCCACCCACCGATTTCATGTGCACAAATATTATTTTACTGAAATTTCTCTTTTGAAGCTAGCTCCCTCATAAAATAAGGGTAAATTACGCTAAATATTCATGTGACATATATGACTCACATATATTTTAAAATCAAACACATGTACGCCTATATTATCTTGTATAAATATATCATTTTAAAATTAAACAATTAAATTCTTTATACAGAAAATTCTACACAAAGGAATACCCGTCTAACTAATTATTTTTTAAATATTTAAAGTGGAACAAGAAAAAACTAAAAAACAATTGTGAGAAATTCCTATATAGTAAACATTATAATTTCTTAAAGCATACAAAGTCTTACATGTTCAATATGTAATAATAATAATAATAATAATAATAATAATAATAATAATAATAATAATAATAATAA